GGGTCGAACATATGTAAATTGCCCAGCGAAACCTGCAGCTAAAAGCAAACTAACGAGACACACCCTCCCTCCTTCCCGTAATCTACTGGGGCGAAGATAAAGGGTCCCATAATAAGCCGCCAGAAGCGAAATGCCTTAATATGAATATATTTAGCAAAGCTTCCAAGGCCAGTAAAAGTCTAGAGCAGAATGCAAAAGACATGGGAATAAAACCATCACCACATAAAACCCGTCACCAAGGGAATATGTAAACAAGATTTTTAAAAACCCAACACCAGTGTTAAAAATTTGGCATAGAATGGTTCACATACTTCCTCGAAAGCTCAATGCGGCTAGAGAGGTGGAACCATGCCCACTGGAAGAACTGACTGACCGAACCGAGCAGCAGCTCACTGGAGAGTCTGTCAAGTTGGTAATGGCGGATGAGCATGCTCGGGGCCCGGCTCCAAATGGCAGCATTCTTTCAGGCAGATCTCCTCAATGGGCAGGGCTGCAAGCGTAAAGCTTCGATGTAGCAACTGCCCTAACCGGATGAGCTTTCAACCCTACAGGTTGGGGATCGCCCTGTTTGAGTATAAGCTCATATGTATATGAGAGACAAGAGGAGATCCGCACTGACCTAAAGTGTCTCCATCACCAGAAAGGCGGCACCTCAAGTAACTGGTTCCAACCCTCTAGAGATTCAGAATGGGTCCTGAACCCTCGATCACTTGTTGGTCACTAGGAAGTAGGTGGAATAAAGACCCCTGTCCTTGTTGACCCACAGGGGTCCCCACCTCGATAAGCTGCGCATGTTCAATAAGGACTGGGGCTTAGCCCGGCGCGAGGAAGCGTCCTTGCTAAGTGAGAGATGAGAGAATTAAACGTGTGCGAACCCGGAAGAAAGGACAAGAGGATCTACGCCTCCACTTTGTGGCAAATACGTATCCCCTGAAAGCGTGGACAGGACCCAGGAGTTTAGGGTGGCTGCCTCCCACTCCCGGAGGAATAGGGACAGGCGACCGCCCGACAGGAGACTGTGGCAGGAGGGCAGTGCACCCCACGGTCGGCATGTCTCGGCTTGCGTGAGTGGGGGCAACAAAGAACTCTGGGGGAAGGAATCAGCGAGGAAGCGGGCCCAGCTTCCACTTGCCCGCTGAAAGGCTGCTGCACTTGAGCAGGCTTGCCCCTTGCCCCACTCAGCGGCCCAGCCTGCTCGAAGCGGACTGCAAAGGGCAGTCCCACCCAGCACGCGCTCAACCCGCCGGGGCAGAAGGATAAGCCAGTGTGAGCGGAAAGGCAGCTGGCCCGGCCGGAGGGGCTGCTCCAACAAGAGCTTTGAGTCTTTGAAGGGTAGGGGCAACTCAAGCTGACCTCCATTACTACCTGCAATGCCCCAGGAACAGGGAGGATCCCATGGTATAGAACGGCCGACAGGAAGCTTGTTTGGTGTGGCGGCGAATGCAGCGCTACAGACAACCACAGGCGGCGCAAGCCCATGGCCCGGCACCCATCATCTGGCTGGCGCACAGCACCGAATGCCTATCCCTAGGCCAGATCACGGGGGTGCCGTCCATTGAGCTGGCCTTGAGCACCCGGCCTCAATGAGTGAGCCACAAGCGCTGGCAGGCCACCAGCTGTCCCACCACAGTGCAGACAGGTAGGCGAGTGGACTGCACTGCTTTGAGGTTGCCTGGGCGGCCTTGCCGGTGGCATTCCCTCGAGATGGCCCGATGCGCCAGACTTCCGCGAGCAGTGAATTAGCAGGAAAAGGGGCGCCTGCCCTGCCTGGCGAGGCCAGGGGCGGCGAGACAACCCCCTAGCATTGCCCCAGAGCAAGGCGCGCTAGTCCACCGCTGGTGGATTCCGGACGCGTCTCCTCTCCCCAACTGGTACCTCCTGCCAGCGTCAGGGGCGAGAATCAAATCTCGGCGGGGAACCGGTCAAGGAGAGGATTTACCACCTCACCTACCAGTGGTGGTAGGATCGCGTGAAAGCGGCCTTCGGCGACCTTAGTGGTGGCGAAGCTTCCCCGGGGAGCCTAAACTCCAGCTGAGGGTGGAAGCCCTGTGTAGGAGCAGCCACACCGGGAGGCAGCCTTAGCCCCTAGATCGTCAGATCCACCCCCGCGACGGTAGCGGTGAAGGCTCCTTCACCTTCTCCTGGAACCCATCCAGCACTTTGCATTATCAATGAAGAGATTTCACTGGCATACCATCTGTTCCTGGAATAAAAGCGGAGTTTAGTTATTCCAGCGGGCACAACTGATTACCCGACACAGCAGGGGGCAGAGAGAGGAGCAAGTTGAGGGTTTGGTATTGGATGCCTCCACTTGGAACCTTTGCAGCTTTTGGGGAGCGGCTCCATGCCAGGAAGCGGCTCCCGTAGGCTATCTTTGTGTGAGCGTTTGGGCCCGGGGGATCCACCATGCTGGGGCAGATATCACCCCCGCCCGGTCAGATTGCTGGCAGGCAACCGCGAGATCGTATTGAAACCACTAATTGTTTGAGGCGTAAAAGTGGCACATGCCACACACCCCTCTCCCTCATGGTCAGTTTGGGTGGGGTAGCAGTGGCGAAGACCAAATTATTGTGTCCTTAGCCCGAGGGAATGGCGCCAAGGCTGCACGGTACAGGATTTAAAGCTGCAACAAGTAAAGCAACCCCATACACGCAGACATATATGAAAAAATACGCGTAGGCGTGACACAACTAATGCGACAGCGTGGCATTACAGTTGACAATAACCCATAATGCGCGCTGGCCACTTAAACTCGACTTTTTATTATGCGTTAAAGATGAAAATGCAAGCAGTGGAAGCTTGACCTATGTAACCACATATGCGGTAAAATTACTAACCCCACCTGTAACATTGAAAACCACCACGAGGAAACCAATGAACAGTGATGCTAGCGAAGGTTACCTGGCCGCCATCTTGGCAGCGCCCGGCCGAGCCGACACAGCGACAGGTACCAAGTTACTAACTAAAATTATGAATGAAAAGTTCAGAACAAGCCTTCAAATTGCCCATGCGGGAAAAGAGAACCATACATACGAATTGCTGTTTCTGACCCACTCATAATTCTCGCCGGAAAAGAAAACTTTCTTGTAATGGATACGCGTCTATCAATGAGGAAACAACAGTATGGAAGGTGAGGTCTCACGAGGTTCTGGTCTAGGAGTTACCTGCTCTTGGCTGTGTAAGGGGTGGAGGGCCCTGTAAAGGTGGTCTCTACAAGACAAAAAGCGTGGATTTTTGTTTTATAGCTCTTTTATTCAAATATTATTATTTACAACTGTCATTAGGGATTTTTAAATGGACATTTAAATGCTTTATACAATTGCCCCAAGGGAGGAATATATAAAAAGTCATGGCCTTCCTGATCCTGACTCACAAGAATTTTTTGTATGGGACAGCAGGCATTGACTCCACCAAAATGTGTAATGGCTGATCTGCTCTGAAATACACAGGTGGTTCCTGGAGGCATCTAATTATTATTATTCCTACTATCTAATGTGGTATTGCCTTCACACAGAATGGAAATATTATTGATTTGATAAGACCTACTAACAAATGCTATTCTTGATCATCTCTCAAACTATTCTCTAGACTAATGACAATTGCTGGTGCGGAGACTCTATGCCATGGGCTTGCTCTATGCCATGATGCTGTTGCATAGCTGTAAATTACTTGTTTTGTGACATTTGGCTCACGAGATCTGAATTGGGATAATGGCCTTTGAGTTTGCCTTTTACATGGATAGATTTTAGTCTGTATGAAGGTCAGTTGTTGATTCAATACATGAGGCTGGCGAGAAGTCAAAGACCTAGGTTAAGTTCCGGTCACCTTCACCTGCAATGAAATTGAAGAACATGGAAGAGCAGGTGAAGGTGACTGACCTCGAAACATGACTATTCTCACCTATCCTGGTCAATCTGTTTTCTTGGCATAGCAAAGAGGTACTCTTTAAATTTGATAGCCGTCAAGATTACCACTATCTGCCAATTTAGAAGAAACTGAACGAAATTAATATGCTTTAGATTATGATAATCCAAGCCTTGATGGTTTAGATAAGCTGGCTGAAACTGCAGCCAGCTAAAACATTTAAATTATTGCCGTCCAACAGAGTGAAAATGGACGGTGTGACTGCATCATCATCGCCTTACTGCACTATGCGTTAAGGTACACCCATATGTAGAACAGGACGGCCTACCTTACTACTTTTGTACGTTAGTACACCCATATGTGAAAGCTGGGACTACCTTACTGCATGCGTTGGCGCACCATATGTGAACAGGACTGCCTTACTGCACAATGCGTTTAGTACATCCATATCACGACAAGGACTGCCTTACTGCAATGCGGCTAGGTACACCCATATCGCGACAGGACTACCTTACTGCACCAATGCGTTAGTACACCCATATGTGACAGGACTACCTTACTGCTATGCGTTGAGTACACATCCATGCATTGACAAGGACTACGTTACTTACTACATACATTTAAGGTACACCCTTGCCTGCTTGACAGGACTACCTTACTGCATGTCGTTAGTACACCATATGTGACAAGGACTACCTTACTGCAATGCGTTAGGTACACCCATGTTGAAGATAGTTATGCCTTGTTCACATACATGTACATTCCATCACAATTACTCTACCGACCACTCCCATGTTTTGCTGACAAAACTGTTGTGTTGCTAATTGTTACCAATGGATAAAGCACATAATTAGGTCTTCTGCTTTCATAAATTTAAAGGTGAAATTGTTTCTCCTGACCTTCTCCATGTCATATGTGCAAAATGTACTCATTTTAGCCTGCATCATAACTAAGATTGTGTTCCATCTGTCATTGGTCCCAGTATCAGATTCACTTGATGGTGAAGTCATACATATTGCCACTGTCATCTGGTTTTAAAACTGGGCAGGGGATTGAAGCTTGAGAATTTCTGACTGGCCCGCCAAAGGTGTTTCCCGGGAGAATTATTTGTGACACATAACATCGCGACGACATACCTCTCCTTCAGTAGACACATACTGAATACACCTGTCTCCACTGTATACAACCGGCAACTGGCTAGGGAATTGTGAGGGGGCTGCTGTCAGCCCTGAGTGGTGGAATCAAGAAGCAGGATCAGTGGTTGATAGCTGCATAGACTTCTTCAGAAGCTGAATAACCTGTTAAACATTGGATCATATGCCAGAAAACCAACCGTTTCATTGTCATTTCCCTGGGTCATGTGGTTCCAAAATGTCAAAATTCCACCTCACATAACTACTGATAACATCTATGAGTAGTTAAGACATTACAAGAGTACTCAGGAATATAACATCAAAGACATAATACATGACTGGCATGACTGACATTGCTACTTCATACTGGCTTCTTGGTCAAGTGTTGCTTACTTGCATTGATGTATTACACTGTCACTGACTGACAGCTTCTCTTGCAACTTGGCACTGCTTGCAACAAATTCTGCATGACCACCCCTGCTCTATGACACCTCAGGACAAGCGATGTGGGCCCACTGCCGATCCCCACGATATAAACACTCTGTAGCCACAAAACAAACAAGGCCTTGTAGCTAATATTGTATATGAATATTTGTATGTAGATGTACTTATGTGTAGATGCATTCTTCATGTACTTATGTAAAATAATGGAAATAAAGATGATAAAAAAAATATTTCCCAAAAAACAAATTCACTTGACAACTGTTTTGGTGCAACACTGGATCCTGGTGATGAATGTTCATAATGTCACTTCTACTACCTAGGTTGTTCATCGTGCTGTGAATGCATGGCTAATAACATTGTTATAACAATGAGAGTCCAGCTTGATGGCTTGAACAGCGATTGGATCTTACTGCCAACACTGACGGCCTCTAATATTGTCACGAACCGATTTTGTGATTCTGGGTAAAGTCGTTGGTGTACAATGTAGCACAGATATACAGGTCAAGATATCCGTTTCCAAGTCCCTTCCAGCATTTTGACTTTTTCTGTCAGCTGGCAGAACTTTTCAAGAGATGAATATCTGGGATCTTTGCAAAAGCTTCAACTTCACAGGATGTATTGTGTCGCGTAACTAAGCAGAGCACTTGACCTTGCAATTTAAGTTGATCTGAGGCTGCTCCTGTGACAAGCATCGTTACATTATTGTTTCCTCATTGGCTTTCCTTTTTGATGATATATTGGGAAATGTTACATTTGTTTTCAACATTTTATTGAACTTTTAGTGAATAAAAAACTACCTGGAAATATGTTAAACAGTCATACAAAATGCAGCATTTACAGACCCCCAGCATCAAAATGTCGTCACGACAGACAGACAAGTTTATTTAGTAAAGGCCACAGGCCCATCATACAGATCATTTGCATATGATATAGATAGTTTAGATTGCACATGCTGTGTAAAGAGGAACATTTCTAATGTGGCCAAAGTACATAATACAGAAAAATACTGACATCTCTTATGATACAATCATTATGTGTTTTTCATAATGTTAATAAAATTAACATTTAGGTCCAAAGGAATCAGTCAAAATATTTCTAGAATATATCTTAACCTTAAATCAGAAAAATGTTCACACTTAAAGTGTACATGGAATTCATCTTCAATAACATTTGTCATCAGATTTACAAAATACACATAATCTCTCCTTGTAATTGGCTTTGTTATCTTCCAGTTTCCAGCAGCTAGATTAAAATTACCACATCTAAATTTAAAGAGTGAGTGGATCTGAGATGTAAAGGAATATCAAATTTAAAATAGAAATGCAACTTTCCACATTTAAAAAATGTCTTCAACAGGGGATTAATAAAACTCTTGGTAGAATTTTGAGATTCAAGTGGACCAACATTGTTTGAGATTATCCGAAAGTCTCTACTTAAACAAGGACATGAAATAATCAACATTGCCAACATCCTGCTGATCCATGCATAGCCAAAACCATACTTAAATAAAATATTTTTGACACAAATTAGTGCAGCCAACATCATCTAAGGACTTGAGAGCACAATATAACAATGTTTTGGCAGTCTATTATAAGGCATATACAATGGGTGAGCACCAGTATTTAATTACTTTTAGTCATATAAGTGAATTTGTATAGAGAAGTCTGCCACAATCACCAAGAGCCATGTTATGACAGGTAGGTTTACCAACTTTCAAAAGGAAATATTTACAAAATTTACTACCTGAACAGACTCAATGATGCTACAATAGTTAGTTTACCCCAAATCTCAGACCAAAATAGAATGAAACCCTACAGTTTAAAGGTCACATGCAACCAAACATAATTAAAACACAATTATCACTTATTCATGACATATAATATACATTGCTGGTTATGAAAAACATATAAACAAAATTATAAAGCGTACAATCGCAAATCAAAAGTGCAATATTGTGTACTTGGGTTTACTTCCCAAGAAACAGAAGCAGCCGGGATACCGAACCCAGTCAGAGCGGGTGGGTGTGCACTCAAGTGTAACGGCTGGTTCATTTACAGATGCCCTCACGGCTCATTGTGTGTGTGTATATATAGAGATGTTGGGTTTTGTAAATACATGCTCATTTTTTGTGTATAACATTTTGCAATCAACAGACATCATAACATGTCATGTGTTCAAGTATCACACCTGCCTGTCTGTGTAATTACATAATGTGACAGAGACCGAACTCGGGCCATAAATCAATGCATTTTGTTTATATGGTGTATAGCCTGATTAGTGTTAAGTTCAAATTGCATGTGGTCAGTGATTCGCAGTTGTGTATTGAATATTGTCATTAGCAGACAGGCAGGCAGACACACAGGTGTCAATAAAACAAGACATTGAGTTTTGTCTGTGACAGCGACATATCTATATCACAGTTAGAAATTCTGTCAACGCTAAATAATGACATTTGCTTTTAAGTATCGAACTGAGAAAGTGACTCGAGTAAGGAGAAGAACGTGTGGTGAAATAGACAAATGAAATTATATAAAACAGTTAATTTACTGTCATAACATATAAAAAGCTTCCAGCCTGTGAGATATCAACAAAACATTAGAAAAATAAGCTCACACAAAGCCTTCACGGTATTCACCCGGACAACCCAGCTTCCAAGTTGCTTGCGAACCTATTTCACTGCGCCTGCGTGCTATGGCGCCAGCCAATATTGAAACCACTTGAATTTCCCCAAAGCGCTGGGGGAAAATTAGTGAATCGTTTGAACTCACGATTTCGCGCGTTTTTTTTCATCAGCGTTATTTTTCAACTTTATAAGTTGAATTTGCATTTTGATGATTTGTTTTGGTAAGTCCATGCTAGAAGGTATCAGAATCTGCAAAGAAGTTGTGTTTTCGTTGCATGTGACCTTTAAATAAAGAAAAACATTTACAGAAAATATTGCCTTTGTTGGCGAGATACCAGACGGCTGCGGCTTTACTCCATACAAGCTTTGGTCTAAATACAAGTCATAGATATTTATAAAGGATGCAGTTTCAATAGGATTACCATTATAGAACCACTTTTTTCCTTATTCCGTGTGCCAGGCTGCATTTCCAAAAGCAAGAACTTTTGTTTTACTAAGATTAACTGACATTCCAGTTTGTTTACAAAAGACATTCAAAAGTGCATTTATCTTCTGTTTGTAACTGATTGCAGTATCGTAAAACAAGTGCAGAAACATCATCAACAAACATAAGTGAACACAAATTGTTAAAATCAGATGAAACATCAACACCTATACCACCGTCCTGTTCCATTAAGGAAAACAACTTATTAATAAATATGATAAACGGCTGTGGGCTTAGCACACAACCCTGGCCAATACCAATATTACATGTAAAACACTTAGATAAACCCTTTGAAGTTCTAATACATGCAGATAAACTGCTGTACATTGATGATATTATATTATAAAATTTACCAGAAATACCAACTTCGGCTAAAAGATTGCAAGAGAACACCATGTCTTATTGTGTCAAAGCCTTTGAGAAATCAATAAAAGGCAATAAAATCTACCTCTCTTTTACAAGAATATGTTTTAGCTAAAGCCTGAAGAGAAAATATGCGGGATCAAATGTGGAATACCCTGCCTTGAAGCCTGCCTGGGACTCATTAATAATTTCATGTGCATCGCCATGATTTTAAGCAGCTTATTCATATGTGATTTCATTGTTACTCAAAGCAACAAACTGCACCCTGATTCCACAACCTACGAGTGCAGGCATATTGAAATTCCAGCTTCAGCCAAGGGTAGTTATAGGCATCATAGTGAAAAAAATCTGCAAACACAACACAGAAGTAGTGTTCACCTGTATGTTAAAGTCAGAACATACCAAACACAACCACAGAAACAGTGTTCAGCAGTAAGTCAAGTCATGACAACTCTGCTCGTTTATTCTCAGTAGTTTCGGTTTATGTTGTCATAAGTTTTGTTACTATGTGCCTTTAAGAAAAAATTTCTTTCAAAGACAGTGTTTTGAGAAAAATTTGTATCACGACATACATAATCCCACACTTAATTTGTCTGTAAAATCTTCATTAAATAAGGATTCATTTATTTATGCAGGTTTCTGTTCCTCAAAATGGTGACCCCATTAAAGAAAGTTACAGTTTAAAGACATGATTTGTAGCGCTTAACTATTGCAATGTTAACTGCAGAGCTGAAATGCTGACATAACTTTAACTTACCTTGTCATGAGCATGAGGCTCTGACTAGGAGATAACTTCATCTGCATTTGATCGCCCCCATCCGTCAGAAGGAAATATCTGAGTAAGACAAGAACTGTATATTAGCTCTTGTCACATCATCAAAATGCATCAACACTTGAATTATATCCCATCAAATTAAAGTGAGAAGGAGTTACTCTCTATATTTTTGAGATGACCAGAATTACCTGTGTCTAGAATGACCCTCTACCTGTCCCTGGGTGACCCTGGACTACCTGTCTAGAATGACCCAGAATTACCTGTCTAGATTGACCCTCTACTCTGTCTAGAATGACCCTGGACTGTCTAGGAATGACCCAGAATTACCTGTCTAGAATGACCAGAATTACCTGTCTAGAATGACCCTCTACCTGTCACAGTGAGCCCTGGGACTACTGTCTGAATGACCCAGGAGTACCTACAAGAATGACACTCACCATCTGGTGACCTGGATACACATCAGAATGACTAAGACACTGTCTGATTGACCCTCTGTCAGAACGTCAAAGAATCATCGTAAAATAAGCATGAATATACATCAAATTAAAATGGAGTTATCTCATTTTGGAATGACTAGAATTACCTCGCCACAAGACTCGAACTCACCATCTGGGCCGACCTGGACTACACCGCTCCACCAGGAGATGACAGAACCTGTCTACAGGCCCTCTACATCTGGTGGGCCTGGGACTCCTATACAGGTGGGCAGAACCACCATCTGAACAACCCTCCTACATAATAGAATGGGCCCTGGACCCTATGCAAGAATGTTGAGAGCCACCTGTCTAAGAATATTCCTCTACACATAGAAGACTGGACACACCATCTAGAATGACCCAGAATTACCTATCTGGGCGACCTCCTACCATCCTGAATGACATGGACACAAGACAGAGCCCTGTAAGACCAGACACTCCACCATCTAGAATGACCCTCAGGACTGCCATGGGCTTAATGTTCTGTCCTAAGAACAGTACTCACCTATAGTGACCCTGGTTGGTACCTGTCCAGGCGACTTCAGACTGCCTGTCTCAGACGACCCAGAGTACCTGTCAGAGCAAACCTCCCACCATCTGGGGTGACCTGGGACTACACCTGTCCTGGGAATGACCCCAGAATTACCTGTCCTAAGACCGGGCCAGAGTACATCACCAGGCGGGCCTCCACATGGGCTGACCTGGACTGCATACAGGCAGGCAGGCCACCTGTCTGGGCACTACCTCAGAATGGGCCTGGGACTACACATGCAGAATGACAGGGCCACCATGCTGGGTGGGCCTCACACATACAGGCCATTTGGACTGCACATGCAGAATGACAGAAATGCCTGTCCCAGTGTTACTCTATAGGCAGGCCACTGGGGCCAGAACTGCCTATACAGGGCAGACACTCACATGCAGGGCCCTGGGACTGCATACAGGTGATAGAACACATACAGATTGAGCCTCTACACCATGCAGGGCAGGCTGGGACTTTCTTAGAATGACTAGGGCCTGTGGTGACACACCATGCAGAATGACACCGTTCCTATGAGGCAGGGTACACCATGCAGAGCCCTCTACCTGTCTAGAGAATGACCCGGGACTACCTGTCTAGAATGACCCAGAATTACCTGTCTAGAATGACCCTCTACCTGTCTAGAATGACCCTGGACTACCTGTCTAGAATGACCCTGGATACAGCTGTTGCTGTACACATACTGCAAAGGGACATGGGATCTCAGTGCCACCCATATATGCAAATCCATAGACTCCTGAGTAGCAGGGGGAGGCTTCAGCTAGGATTCCTCAGCATAGAATTCACTTCCACATGTGAAAGAAGTCAAATAGAAATTGGATTGAATAACATATACATGGTTATTGTCATAATACAGGCCAACATTAAGGTACTTATATGTTAAACAAGAAACCAGCCTGTACATATAGCTATGATAAAAGAGTTAATCAATGAAGGTACAGGTGTTATAATACATAAGAAAATTAAAAGATACTTTTGTCCTGAATTACATGCATACAGGAAGCTTTATCTGAAACCCTAACACAGAAGCTTTGAAACAACTTTATTTTGTGTTTGTTTTGTTTTCGTTAATTGTAACGCTGCACTCCAGCAATATTCCAGCAGTCTGAAAATAACTGAGTCCTGGACGATATAATCCAGTGATTGACATCATGAGCATCGATCTATGCAGTTGGGTCATGATGACATGCAACCACTTTCAAGAGAAGTCAACCAAGCCTGACCACAGGATCCTCCTCTTACGACCAAGCATGGTTTGTGGAGAGACCAAGATTTCCTAGGTTTTGTAATCAAGTTTGGTTTGACAAGTTATGCGGTTATCACCGTTTTGAAGAAGATTAAAAGGTTGTTATAGGTTTCTAGACAGGTACAAAAGCCAGAGCACATTAAATACTTATATAAAAGCCAGAGGGAACCAATACACAGCTGTTATATATTAATATATTATTATATATTAATGGTGAGAGAGAATGTTGTTTCATCATGAAATAATCTCAAAGGCCATTATGGATGATCCTGATAATGGTAATTTATTTTTGAGTCATAACTAGAGTATTTATCTGCAGCGAAATGCCTTACTGTTTACTAAACCTGGAATAAGTGTTGATCAGTGGTTTGAGCATTTTAAAGATAAAGCCTAGTGCTTCAGACAGAGACCTATTTCGAAATGTTTAAATTGTCCACATCCTGGTGCATTCAGGACAATATTAATTAATACTACATTTGAGCCGCCACATCATTTCTTACGCCAGGACCGGTCTCCTGGAGTAAGATTGTCCCCACTGAATAAGAAGGGTGACATCAACACACCTGTGATTAGGCCTGCAGTCAGGAGTACAATGACAAAACATTTTAGTAAGATTTAAATTTACATTCTCAATACAAGACTACAGTTTTGGCCGAGGCATATTATAGACAACTGGATCATAGTTCTAAACTGACCATTATGAATGAATTATCTACCTTGCACTACAGTTTTGCAAACAGCCTGTAAACCCAGGAGTTTAAGTTGTCTCCCTTAACTGTTACCATGACAGTTGTCTCCAACAACTGTACCAGCGATATATATGATACTACAACTCTTTCCATTTACAGTGCTTTCAGAAAGCGGCTGTTTTGAAACTAACATTCTAAAGTAAAGATGGATTGTCTACATGGGCTGGCACCATAAAAGAGCCAACACAAGTCCACACTTAGAGCAGGCAGTACAAGTCACTTGACAATAAACTTTGCTTAGGTTGTAATTTTTGCATGTAGTTTTTTCAAAGGACACATCATTTCAAAGTTGCCATTGAGCAACGGGGATAAATTATTGTATTGCATTCTCAAAGTTCAAACTGAATTCTGCGCATCTCTTCTTACAAATGTTTTAAAACTTTAAAAACAATCCTGGTGAAATATTTTCTGTAAACAACCACATTTGGAATCTGTGAGAGGAAGCAGATATACAACACACTATATCTCTCACCCAGGAAACAAGCAGCTATATGAGCTGCGAGGCTATGATGATGTTGAAGTAGCATCCAACTGGCAGACTCTTGAGGAAAGAAACAGCAGGGCCTGCTTGGCACTGTTCATCTGATCACCATGCATACTACCTGATGGAAACATTCAACACACACAGAACTGTAGGCCATCATATTTCATTGGATCACAGATATTGTCATCAGTGTGAGAGAGAAGGTAGAGGAGGGGAATATCAGGATAACATCATCTTAAACTGGATCACAGATATTGCCTCGTCAGTGTAAGAAGGTAGAGGGAGGAATATCAGGATAACATCATCTTAAACTGGATCACAGATATTGTGTCGGCAGTGTAAGAAGGTAGAGGAGGAATATCAGGATAACATCAGCTTAAACTGGATCACAGATATTGTTGTCAGTGTAAGAAGGTAGAGGAGGAATATCAGGATAACATCATCTTAAACTGGATCACAGAATATTGTCGTCAAGTGTAGAAGGTAGAGGAGGAGGATATCAGGATAACATCAGCTTAAGCTGGATCCACAGATATTGTCGTCAGTGTAAGAAAGGTAGAGGAGGAATATCAGGATAACATCATCTTAAACTGGATCACGAATATTGTGCGTCAGTGTAGAAGGTAGAGGAGGAATATCAGGATAACATCATCTTAAACTGGATCACAGATATTGTCGTCAGTGTAGAAGGAAGAGGAGGGAATATCAGGATAACATCAGCTTAAACTGGATCACAGATATTGTCGTCAGTGTAAGAAGGTAGAGGAGGAATATCAGGATAACATCATGACTTAAACTGGATCACAGATATTGTCGTCAGTGTAAGAAGGTAGAGGAGGAATATCAGGATAACATCAGCAAACTGGATCACAGATATTATGGTCAGTGTAAGCAGAGACCATATAATAGAGGGGCGGCCCTCTAGCCAGTGCGCATAAAACCATCAGCGCTCACGGCTTGTACTGCGCCAACCTATCCGGAAGCTGGAAAAAGCGTGTGTTGACTTCAGTCATCGATTTAGCTTTATTTTCATTTGCAAAAGGTAAGATTTGATTTTTTCATGTATTCTCATGCATATACTTACATTTGCAACAGTGCATTAGAAGGTATTAGAGGGTGCTAAAGCATTATTTGTCTTTGTATTTGATGAATACTATCCGTGTGCTTTCGTCGTTCTGTGAGAACAATGGGCGGAGTGTAAAATCGGCCAAAAGTCCGATTTTGATTTTCAATAATGGATACTAATTCTCAATGCAAATCCTTAGTTGCGAGGTGTAATGAAAAGAAAATAAGATAAAGATTTGTATAGGGGCAGTTATAAGTCTGTGGCGTTGGCGTCATTCCTTATTTTTAGCTCGTGCAATACGATGAAATATGATGTTTTCCGAAATATTTTACTCCACACACTTGATTTTCATGCGCTTTCACAAGAGCAGCTTTATTACTAGCATGTTTAAAATAAACATGTGAACATTCACCGGCGATTTCCTCTTTTGCGTGGTACACTTTTTATATAGCTCACGATGTCGGTATTTTATTTTTTATGATTTTTGCGTAAACCCATATTTGCGTCATTATACTGAACATTTCAATTATCATGCTAGCAGCAGGCGACACATAACATTCATTTTGTCCATTAATATAGCATTGAATATATATTTGCAAATCATTCTACAAAAGTCTCATTCTCCTAATCGTTTGAAAAAAAGTACATATTTCCATTATTGTTCATTTTGGTGATTATATTTCTGGAAAAAGGTCCTTATTTATCATGTAACAATTCATGGCATTTTTTCTGTTATCATTATTCTTCCTACTGAAGTTAGAGAGTTATATTGCTATATATTATTATATTACTATACAATAGTACCAGCAGCCTGACTTTATGCAACAATGAATCAACATTTTATTTATATCATTACACTATTTATATAAATTATCATTTGTTTGGCAGATGCCCAGGAAAAAGTTTTCATCGGCAGTCGCGGAAGGGCTACTCAAAGTGGGGTCGAGACAACTAGGTGTCAGTTCTTCCTCTCTCTCTGACATTCTTTATTCATCGGTTCAATCAACTGTTCACCGACGATTGCAGGTAAGTAGCAATGGAAGTAAGAAATTCACAAATGATGTCTTTGAAAAAAATGAGTAATTTTGTGTTGATATTTTGTAGTTATTGGTACTTGTATATCTGGTACCTCGCAGAAATAAGTTTAAAGATATCAAAGCAATTGTATAATCAAATATTAATATTGTTTCTTTTTCTCATGTAAAACAACGGTATAGTGTAAATTATTAAATACAATATTCCCATCTTGAGTAAGTAACTAGACCTTGTTTGAAGAGCATTGGCAACCAACTATTGCATAATTTTAACAACTATTTAGAACATCTTTCTAAATTTATATTTTTAATATTAATATTGTGTAAAATCCATTTTCAGTTCAAGAGATGCACTGTGGGACAAAGCATGGAAGTCATTCTTCATTGACCACCTCACCCGATGAACCCACAGATACCCATGCCTGGAAGAAGCGACAGATTCTGATGGTTGTTGAAGCTGATGAATTCTTTGGGTTTATTTGACACAATTCACCAGTATCATCCGGACAACAATGTAGATGAATTTGTTGATGGCATCCTCACGATACCAACCAATATTTAACATTAAAAAGGAAGACTGTTTCAGCATGTAGATGAGTTAGGCAATTTTACAACTGCAAGAAACAAAGCGTGGAAACATTACTATTGTGCAGTTTTATGACTGGCTAGGCTCAGTCCAGCTTTCAGTAGTCATCAAGCCATCCTTTACAGCAGCAATATATGCAATATCGGCGTTGACTTTGGCCCAAATCATGAATTCTGGATTGGTTTTACCTGCATTTTTCTCCACTCTAAGAGATATGAAAAAACTTTTATCAAAACTGTCTACATACCATGTTTGCGTTTGGCAATTATGAAGACAGATTTGCAAACTTGATTCCAGTTGGTGCAGGCATAAGTGAAGGAGCTATTTCAACAATATCTGCCTAATAATTTAACATGTAATAAAATTACATGAGTAGAAGTATTCAGGAAATTAAAAACTAATGTACAGTTCTACTTCATGGATATCTAAAATATCTCATAGTGAAGTTATATTAAGATTGTGTACAGATTTGTATGATTTTATGTTTTATGTCTTTACATCCACAATCAGTCCTAAATGGACAACATAACTATACAGGTTGTGTTGCAAGAAGTTTATGAGTTATCATCTTCCCCTTATTTTATCATGACTACAATTAATATATTTTCTGTTATCATTATTCTTCCTAATGAAGTTTGATTATGAGTTTACCTGGGCTTAGACGAGTACCTACAGCCTGGTCTTATGTAACAACAAAATGAAAATGAACTCATTATTCAACATTATATTTATATCATAAAATTATCATTTGTTTTGTAGATGCCCAGGAAAAAAAGAAAGTTTTCATCGAAGGGCCACTCCAAGAGCCTATTATTAAGTGCAATATTTCCATCTTGATTGCCAGATATGCCTCGGTTTGAAAGAGCATTGGCAACCAACTATTGCATAATTTTAATTTCAAATTCAGTTTAGAGGTTTATTCTGCAACAGTTGAAATTCACATTTACCGTGTTTTTAATGAAAGAATATCTAAATGGTTGAATTTAGTAATACATGATTGTATTATAGGCATCTATGGTCCCATTCTACAATAAATACATTGTACATATAAGAACGCAGATGATGTTGTGTTTTAATGTTATTATTGCATTTTCCCGCCAAGTTAAAGGACACTTTGCTGAAATTTTTAATTGATTGGGTAGATTGTAGTAATGTTTCCGTTTAACACATATATTTTGGGCCCGGAGGCAAGTGACTTTAGTATTTAGTGGCTTCCCTTTGAAAACAAAACAAGCGTCTCAATACGGCCCAAAGCATAATCACTGCTAGCCCTAAACTGGCATTATAAACACATTAACGCCTTTGGAAAAATGTGAAATCGTTTCGTTGGGACTATAAACTTTATAACAAGCACCAGTCAGTCACCAGGCACTCGTCTTTCCGAGGATTCATGATTTTAATAATATTGCTTTGAGATGACACCCATAATTTAAAATGCTTCACAGTACAATACATAATGACAAGGCCGGACACTTCTAGGGTGCACCCTACCCGACTGGCGCTGCCGATCGCCACGCTACCATCGCAGATGCAATCGATTAAAACTTTATGTAAACATAATCATGGATGATTGGCCTATCGAGCAACACTCATGACGCACCTACAATTCTTTATTGTTATTTCTGCAAGTCGATTGAAAACCAAATTTTGACTCCTCAACTAAACGATCTTGACACAAATGTATGACGATATGTCCGCACACAAAGGTGGTGTGGTGGGGCAAGTCCTCTGATTGGCTAGCGCTTTGCAAATTCTGCACATTCTTTATAAATTCAAGGGAATTTTTACTTTCATCGACTGTTTGACCACACCCTCGCTTTGTGCCAACGAATACTTGCAAGTAAATCTTGGGATTAGCCATGTGATGATACGTTGCTTTGCAAGCATCGATATTGGCAACTGGTGTAAGAAGGTAGAGGAGGAATATCAGGATAACATCAGCTTAAACTGGATCACAGATATTGTCGTCATCAGTGTAAGAAGGTCAGTGTAAGAGGTAGAGGAATATCAGGATAACATCAGCTTAAACTGGATCACAGATATTGTCGTCAGTGTAAGAAGGTAGAGGAGGAATATCAGGATAACATCAGCTTAAACTGGATCACAGATATTGTCGTCAGTGTAAGAAGGTAGAGGAGGAATATCAGGATAACATCAGCTTAAACTGGATCACAGAAGAAGGTATTGTCGTCAGTGGATAAGAAGGTAGAGGAGGGAGGGAATATCAGGATAACATCAGCTTAAACTGGATCACAGATATTGTCGTCAGTGTAAGAAGGTAGAGGAGGAATATCAGGATAACATCAGCTTAAACTGGATCACAGATATTGTCGTCAGTGTAAGAAGGTAGAGGAGGAATATCAGGATAACATCAGCTTAAACTGGATCACAGATATTGTCGTCAGTGTAAGAAGGTAGAGGAGGAATATCAGGATAACATCATCTTAAACTGGATCACAGATATTGTCGTCAGTGTAAGAAGGTAGAGGAGGAATATCAGGATAACATCAGCTTAAACTGGATCACAGATATTGTCGTCAGTGTAAGAAGGTAGAGGAGGAATATCAGGATAACATCAGCTTAAACTGGATCACAGATATTGTCGTCAGTGTAAGAAGGTAGAGGAGGAATATCAGGATAACATCAGCTTAAACTGGATCACAGATATTGTCGTCAGTGTAAGAAGGTAGAGGAGGAATATCAGGATAACATCAGCTTAAACTGGATCACAGATATTGTCGTCAGTGTAAGAAGGTAGAGGAGGAATATCAGGATAACATCAGCTTAAACTGGATCACAGATATTGTCGTCAGTGTAAGAAGGTAGAGGAGGAATATCAGGATAACATCATCTTAAACTGGATCACAGATATTGTCGTCAGTGTAAGAAGGTAGAGGAGGAATATCAGGATAACATCAGCTTAAACTGGATCACAGATATTGTCGTCAGTGTAAGAAGGTAGAGGAGGAATATCAGGATAACATCAGCTTAAACTGGATCACAGATATTGTCGTCAGTGTAAGAAGGTAGAGGAGGAATATCAGGATAACATCAGCTTAAACTGGATCACAGATATTGTCGTCAGTGTAAGAAGGTAAGAAATATCAGGTAGAGGAGGAATATCAGGATAACATCAGCTTAAACTGGATCACAGATATTGTCGTCAGTGTAAGAAGGTAGAGGAGGAATATCAGGATAACATCAGCTTAAACTGGATCACAGATATTGTCGTCAGTGTAAGAAGGTAGAGGAGGAATATCAGGATAACATCAGCTTAAACTGGATCACAGATATTGTCGTCAGTGTAAGAAGGTAGAGGAGGAATATCAGGATAACATCATCTTAAACTGGATCACAGATATTGTCGTCAGTGTAAGAAGGTAGAGGAGGAATATCAGGATAACATCAGCTTAAACTGGATCACAGATATTGTCGTCAGTGTAAGAAGGTAGAGGAGGAATATCAGGATAACATCAGCTTAAACTGGATCACAGATATTGTCGTCAGTGTAAGAAGGTAGAGGAGGAATATCAGGATAACATCAGCTTAAACTGGATCACAGATATCAGGATAACATCATCTTAAACTGGATCACAGATATTGTCGTCAGTGTAAGAAGGTAGAGGAGGAATATCAGGATAACATCAGCTTAAACTGGATCACAGATATTGTCGTCAGTGTAAGAAGGTAGAGGAGGAATATCAGGATAACATCAGCTTAAACTGGATCACAGATATTGTCGTCAGTGTAAGAAGGTAGAGGAGGAATATCAGGATAACATCAGCTTAAAAACATTCAGATACTCAGGAGAAACAATAACCTGACCTTTTATGCATACAGTTTGACTTAGGATAGTAATAACCGCTGACATACCTGACCTGTCAATGACAAATATGAATTCTCCATTCTCGAATACTGCACTCTCACCAAACTTGGGGTACAAGTTAACCATCAACACATTCTTCTTGAAAAAATTGCCTGCACCTAAAATAGAACAAAAAATAGTTAATATTTTCTTTGGTTGGGTTGAGAAGTATAACTTCCACAACTTGATTGAACACTGCACTAGTCTGTGTATTGCCTTGATATTGGGAGCAAGTAATAGTAGGAATTGTACTCGCTCACAACCCTTGTCTACTGAGATATTAGAGTGACTCTAAAACAAGAAAGAACCATGATGATCTGTGGCTAACCTGAACATAGTTGGCATCACTTTAAAGAAGCTTTAGGTGGATCCCTACCTTTGTTCAGACCTCTACCACCTTCCTCTTGTGTCCTTGCTCTCTGTGGCTTGTGGACATTCTCATAGAAGATGTTGAGAGAGTGAGATCATGGTCACACACAAAAGGTGTTGCCAGTTTCACCTGCAATACAATTAACTAACTTATAAAGAAGACATGTACAGATCTACCACCTGCCCAGTGTACAGCCATAACACTAACCACTGTACAGATCATACTCCTGTACAGTCATAACCCACTGTACAGATCTACCACCACATGACTCCTGTACAGTCATAACATTAACCACTGTCTACCACCTGCCTCCTGTACAGCCATAACATTAACCACTGTACAGATCTACCACCTGCCTCCTGTACAGCCATAACACTAACCACTGTACAGATCTACCACCTGCCTCCTGTACAGCCATAACACTAACCACTGTACAGATCTACCACCTGCCTCCTGTACAGCCATAACACTAACCACTGTACAGATCTACCACCTGCCTCCTGTACAGCCATAACACTAACCACTGTACAGATCTACCACCTGCCTCCTGTACAGTCATAACATTAACCACTGTACAGATCTACCACCTGCCTCCTGTACAGCCATAACATTAACCACTGTACAGATCTACCACCTGCCTCCTGTACAGTCATAACACTAACCACTGTACAGATCTACCACCTGCCTCCTGTACAGCCATAACACTAACCACTGAACAGATCTACCACCTGCCTCCTGTACAGCCATAACACTAACCACTGTACAGATCTACCACCTGCCTCCTGTACAGCCATAACACTAACCACTGTACAGATCTACCACCTGCCTCCTGTACAGCCATAACACTAACCACTGTACAGATCTACCACCTGCCTCCTGTACAGCCATAACATTAACCACTGTACAGATCTACCACCACCCTCCTCCTGTACAGCCATAACATTAACCACTGTACAGATCTACCACCTGCCTCCTGTACAGTCATAACATTAACCACTGTACAGATCTACCACCTGCCTCCTGTACAGCCATACAACTAACCACTGTACAGATCACCACCTGCCTAACCACTGTACAGATCTACCACCTGCCTCCTGTACAGCCATAACACTAACCACTGTACAGATCTACCACCTGCCTCCTGTACAGCCATAACACTAACCACTGTACAGATCTACCACCTGCCTCCTGTACAGCCATAACACTAACCACTGTACAGATCTACCACCTGCCTCCTGTACAGCCATAACACTAACCACTGTACAGATCTACCACCTGCCTCCTGTACAGTCATAACACTAACCACTGTACAGATCTACCACCTGCCTCCTGTACAGCCATAACACTAACCACTGTACAGATCTACCACCTGCCTCCTGTACAGCCATAACACTAACCACTGTACAGATCTACCACCTGCCTCCTGTACAGTCATAACACTAACCACTGTACAGATCTACCACCTGCCTCCTGTACAGCCATAACACTAACCACTGAACAGATCTACCACCTGCCTCCTGTACAGCCATAACATTAACCACTGTACAGATCTACCACCTGCCTCCTGTACAGCCATAACACTAACCACTGTACAGATCTACCACTGCCTCCTGTACAGATAACATTACCACCTGCCTCCCTGTAACCATAACTGTACCTGCAGATCTACCACCTGCCTCCTGTACAGCCATAACACTAACACTAACCACTGTACAGATCTACCACACCTGCCTCCTGTACAGCCATAACATTAACCACTGTACAGATCTACCACCTGCCTCCTGTACAGCCATAACACTAACCACTGAACAGATCTACCACCTGCCTCCTGTACAGCCATAACACTAACCACTGTACAGATCTACCACCTGCCTCCTGTACAGCCATAACATTAACCACTGTACAGATCTACCACCTGCCTCCTGTACAGTCATAACATTAACCACTGTACAGATCTACCACCTGCCTCCTGTACAGTCATAACACTAACCACTGTACAGATCTACCACCTGCCTCCTGTACAGCCATAACACTAACCACTGTACAGATCTACCACCTGCCTCCTGTACAGTCATAACACTAACCACTGTACAGATCTACCACCTGCCTCCTGTACAGTCATAACATTAACCACTGTACAGATCTACCACCTGCCTCCTGTACAGCCATAACACTAACCACTGTACAGATCTACCACCTGCCTCCTGTACAGCCATAACACTAACCACTGTACAGATCTACCACCTGCCTCCTGTACAGCCATAAACACTAACCACTGTACAGATCTACCACCTGCCTCCTGTACAGTCATAACATTAACCACTGTACAGATCTACCACCTGCCTCCTGTACAGTCATAACATCTAACCACTGTACAGATCTACCACCTGCCTCCTGTACAGCCATAACACTTAACCACTGTACAGATCTACCACCTGCCTCCTGTACAGTCATAACACTAACCACTGTACAGATCTACCACCTGCCTCCTGTACAGCCATAACACTAACCACTGTACAGATCTACCACCTGCCTCCTGTACAGTCATAACATTAACCACTGTACAGATCTACCACCTGCCTCCTGTACAGCCATAACATTAACCACTGTACAGATCTACCACCTGCCTCCTGTACAGCCATAACATTAACCACTGTACAGATCTACCACCTGCCTCCTGTACAGTCATAACATTAACCACTGTACAGATCTACCACCTGCCTCCTGTACAGCCATAACACTAACCACTGTACAGATCTACCACCTGCCTCCTGTACAGCCATAACATTAACCACTGTACAGATCTACCACCTGCCTCCTGTACAGTCATAACATTAACCACTGTACAGATCTACCACCTGCCTCCTGTACAGTCATAACACTAACCACTGTACAGATCTACCACCTGCCTCCTGTACAGCCATAACACTAACCACTGTACAGATCTACCACCTGCCTCCTGTACAGCCATAACACTAACCACTGTACAGATCTACCACCTGCCTCCTGTACAGTCATAACATTAACCACTGTACAGATCTACCACCTGCCTCCTGTACAGCCATAACACACTAACCACTGTACAGATCTACCACCTGCCTCCTGTACAGCCATAACATTAACCACTGTACAGATCTACCACCTGCCTCCTGTACAGTCATAACATTAACCACTGTACACAGATCTACCACCTGCCTCCTGTACAGATACAGCCTCCATAACACTAACCACTGTACAGATCTACCACCTGCCTCCTGTACAGTCATAACATTAACCACTGTACAGATCTACCACCTGCCTCCTGTACAGCCATAACATAACCACTGTACAGATCTACCACCTGCCTCCTGTACAGCCATAACATTAACCACTGTACAGATCTACACCTGCCTCCCTGTACAGTCATAATTAACCACAGATCTACCACCTGCCTCCTGTACAGTCATAACACTTAACCACTGTACAGATCTACCACCTGCCTCCTGTACAGCCATAACACTAACCACTGTACAGATCTACCACCTGCCTCCTGTACAGCCATAACACTAACCACTGTACAGATCTACCACCTGCCTCCTGTACAGTCATAACATTCAACCACTGCACAGATCTACCACCTGCCTCCTGTACAGTCATAACACTAACCACTGTACAGATCTACCACCTGCCTCCTGTGCCAGTCATAACACTAAACCACTGTACAGGATCTACCACCTGCCTCCTGTACAGTCCATAACAGTGCTCACTAACCACTGTACAGATCTACCACCTGCCTCCTGTACAGCCATAACATAACCACTGAACAGATCTACCACCTGCCTCCTGTACAGTCATAACATTAACCACCTGTACAGATCTACCACCTGCCTCCTGTGGGTCCTGCCACAGTAACACTAACCACCTGTACAGATCTACCACCTCTGCCTCCTGTACAGCCACATAACACTAACCACTGTACAGATCTACCACCTGCCTCCACTGTACAGCCATAACACTAACTGTGGCTCACAGATCTACCACCTGCCTCCTGTACAGATCTAACACTTTAACCACCTTTCCACCACCTGCCTCCTGTACAGCCATAACACTAACCACTGTACAGATCCACTGGCCTGTTTCCCTGTGGATCCACTACCACTGCCTCCTGGTATCAGCCTCCACTGTGTGCTCTGTTTCCACTGTGCACCTATCCACCTGTACAGATCCTGCCTCCTAGTGCAGGTCCTGTTTCTTGGCCACTGTCCTGCCTCCTGTACACAGTCATGGATCACCTCCTGGTCCACTGTGGATCACCACCTCCACCACCTGCCTTTGGATCCACCTGTGTGGTTTCGGGATCCTGCCTGTCTCTTCCTGTGGATCTGTTTTATCCTGGGATCCTGTTCTTGGATCTACATTCTGTCTTTTTCACCACTGGATCTACCACCTCCTTCCTGCTGTGTTCCTGACAGGATCCCACTGTACCTGCCTTTCCTGCCACCTGCACAGTGGATCACCTGTCCTGCTGGGATCCTACTTCCTGTGCCTGCCTGGGATCCACCTGCCTCCTTCCTGTGTGCTGAAGGACCTGTACTGTGCTCTACCACCTGCCTCCTGTGGTACAGTCCTGTGTCTGGGATCCTGCCTCCTGTGCAGTCCTGCCATCTTCCAGATCTGGTTACCACCTGCCTCCTGTACAGTCCTTTTAACTGTGGAACCTCCTGTGCCTTCCTGGATCTACCACCTCACTGTCCTGGATCTACCACCTGCCTCCTGTACCGCCTTAATCTTGGTCACTGTACAGATCTACCACATGCCTCCTGTGTCCTTCCATCTGTGGCCATTAACACTGAACAGATCTACCACTGCCTCCTGTACAGCCATAATCTTTAACCACTGCATAGGAGATCTACCACCTGCCTCCTGTACAGCCATAACATTAACCACTGAAGAGATCTACCACCTGCCTCCTGTACAGCCATAACACTAACCACTGTACAGATCTACCACCTGCCTCCTGTACAGCCATAACACTAACCACTGTACAGATCTACCACCTGCCTCCTGTACAGCCATAACACTAACCACTGTACAGATCTACCACCTGCCTCCTGTACAGCCATAACACTAACCACTGAACAGATCTACCA